GCTCTGGCGGAGGCGCAGATGTCCAACCCTGCACTCCCTCTGGTTTGTCTGATGAGGGATCTGATGGACAATGTGTCCTGGGCACTACCCTGATGGGGTTGCTGGGTTCCTCCAGTGCTCCGTATATTTGTGGTTTTGGGCCCCGGAGCATTGGGCCCCCCTGTCCATTTTTTGGCAATGGAGCCCAATGCCTTTCTCCACGATATCGTGGATAAACACCTGGTCCTTGTTCGTTTTTTGATAATGGAGTACCCTCTATGGTGGTTTGAGAACGGCATTCATTAGCCCAATGTCTCCCTCTACGGCATCGTGGGCAAATACCTGGTATTCTACTCCTTTGATACCTAGTTTTGTTAAACCCTCCTCCAATGGGGCAATTCCTTTTAAAATGTCCTGTTTGTTCACAATTGTAGCATGTTCTTGGCCTGGCATCTAAAGCCTGTTTTACTGCAGCTGCCACAATTTGCCCTTGTTCATTAATGTCTCTGGCATCTAAAGCCTGTTTTACTGCAGCTGCCACGACTTGCTCTTGTTCATTAATGTCTCTACATAATTTAATATATGTGTTTAAATCTTCATTTTTCCATGGTCTAATGATATCTCTGCACCAACGATTTGCTTGCTCATAAGCCAGGTGTTTTAGTAATGGCATTGCTTGTTCTGTATTCCCAAAAACTCTGGTAGCTGTTTGAATAAGCCTATCTACAAATTCAGCATAAGGTTCATTAGCTCCTTGTATTACCTTAGATAATTGACCTTGTAAACCTCCATGTCCTTGTACAGTCTTCCATGCCTTAATTGCATCTGCAGCAATTTGTGCGTATACACCAGGATCATATGCAATTTGTTGCTGCTGATCCTCATAAGGTCCCTTTCCTAACAACATATCTAGATTTCTCTGAGGATAACCAGCTGCTGCATTTCGCCTAGCCGTCTCCTTGCAAAATTCCTCATTGGCAACCTTCCATAACAGGTATTGTCCTCCATTTAGCACAGCTTTACACATATTAGCCCAGTCTGCTGGCGTCATGTTCAAGTTGTTAATGGATTCGACCAAGCTTACAGTGAAGGGTGCTTGAGGACCATAGGTTGTTACAGCCTCTTTTAGCTGCTTCACTGTTTTGAAATTTAAAACTTGGTAAAATCGCTGCCCTCCTGCCTCAAATACAGGGCATGTTAATATTTGAGACCTTGTCTCAGGATCCCAACTATCAACTGCGGGGGTTGGGGGCCTCCCAGCATATGGAGGTGGCGCTGTTGGTTGGACACTTACACCCTCTGGTGATAGAAAGGTGTTAGTAGCAGTCTCCTGTAGAGGTGGTGCTGTTGGTTGGACACTTACACCCTCTGGTGATAGAAAGGTGTTAGTAGCAGTCTCCTGTTGTAACTTTCCCCCTGATGGCTTTTTCTGTTTTACACTTTCTTTCTCTGTCTGACTAGCTTGAGAGGCCTTCTCTTTTACTTGAATCTTTTCCTCTGTCTGACTAACTTGAGAGACCTTCTCTTTTACTTGAATCATTATGTCTTCTCCTTCCTCTACCATTGTCTGAACTGAAGGCTTTGGACTAAGCAAACAAGATACGAATGTCCACAATGGCAATGTGCCAACTGGCAGAGTCCCTGGGCTTTTCTTTTCTACTCTTTTTAAATCTTCACCATGATGGTTCCATTGTGATATATTTAACAACTCCTCCTTAAAAAGCCATGGGCTACATTTTTGTATTGTATCAACGTATGCCCTGACTGCTCTTGATTTTACTGGGATGCCTCCTTCCTCTAACAATTTACTTAACACTCTTTCAGTTTGTTTTTTACTAATTTCTGATCCCATATTTCTACTATAATACAACCCAACAAGATGACGCCAAACAAAACCGAGACAGAATGAAATAAAAAGGGAACCACAAAAAGTCATTATAGCCTTTCTATCCTCCTGACATGTGCATCCGTCCTTTCTCCCTATCTGTTCCTCAGACGTAAATAGTTTTTCCTCAGATGTGAGCGGTTTTTCTTCCGTCTCACTCATCTCCAGGGACAGGCAACTTAAAACAAAAGTGAAGCAAAATAAAAGAGGAATCTTAAAATGGCTACCCATCCTCTCGCCCTGCCCTCAGGGGCGAGCAGTTTCACTTACCCTCAGTCGCTCCCCGTGCGAGCCACCAAATGCCGCAGTCTGGCTGGGCACAATCAGGAGCCACTTGTCAAAAGAAACTAACTTTATTTTTAGAACCACACACGACAAACAAAATAGTCTCTCAGGAAAAACCCTCAGAGCCTCAACTGCCACCACCGGCTTTCCCCAAGCCTCTCTCTCCCACACAAGCTTCTCTCCACCTCCCACAATCCTCCTGCTCTTGAGGCCGATTGGCTGGGTCACGTGGGCGGAGCCAAAAAAGTCCCCCAATGAGCAGCTCCGTGGTCTGAAAGGGCAGGGAAACAGTCCAATGAGCATCACCGCAGAGGAGCCAATCAGCTAGATGTTGCTGGGGCCGAGGAGCCAATCAGCTAGATGTTGCTGGGGCCGCTGTGAGCCAATCATCAGCCAGCAGCTGGAAGTTTGCTGGCAGCTGGAAGTTTGCTGGGGCCCCTTTGGCTGTGGCTCTCAACAATTTGTTGTGTTTATTTTTTATTGTCTGAATCCCCTTCCAAAAATGTAAACTTTTTGTTTTGTTTTCTTTTGTTCAAGCACCTAGGATGTAGTAGCATGTAATAGGTACTCAGTAAACTCAATGAATGAATAACTCTCAAATCAGTGACAAAAATATGTAACTTACTATACAGTAAGGGTGTTGGACAATTAATTGGTAGCCATCTGGAGAAACAGAAAAAAAAATTCATTGATTATAAACTTCACATGACATACCAGGAAAAGAATCTAGATAAATTAAAGGCATATAGAAAGGTAACAAACATAAAAGTAATACAGAAAAGCATGGGGAAATTATTATATAACCTTGGAATGAGAAAACTTCTTCAAAATATAATACCATAAATAAAAAGATTAATAAATTTAATTACCAAAATAATTCCACCTGGCAAAAAACACTGTAAACAAATTCAAAGACAAATTAAAAACTAGAAAATAATGCAATTCAGTTTACACACACAACAAATTATGTTTCCAATATAAAAAAGAAGGCCTGTAAACAGAGAAAAAGAAGACCAGTAATGTAATAGAAAAATTGGCAAATGCTATGAACAAAAATTAATGGAAGAAAAAAAAGCAAGTAGAAAGATGCTCAATTAAAATCACATTGAGATGTCATTTGTTTTGCCTTTCAAAGTTCAAAAGTTTGATGATCCACAGAGATAATGGATCTATAAATATGAACTGTCAAACATTATTAGTGGAAATGTGAATTGGTGTAATGTTATAAACATCTTCCAAAGGATGAAAAGAAAATGACAACTTTACCAAAGGCCAAATGTTTTCTCTGTTAAGCAGATGCTAATCCATAATGCAGGTGGGGGGTTGGGTAGGGGAGAATGAAGGAACTCTGGATTGTGCAGATGGGAGTGAGGGGAGGGGAAGAGGGGGTGGAGAGGGGAAGGGCAGTGGAATGAGATGGACAGTATTAACCTATATACATGTATGATTATACTACTGCATCATGTACAGCCAGAGGAATGAGAAGTTGTACTCCATTTGTGTACAATGTGTCAAAATGCATTCTACTGTCCTGTATAACTAATGAGAACAAATTAAAATAAGAATGACAACCACCATGGCTTTGTTTGGGGGAAGGTTAGTGGGAACTAGGTCAGGGACAGGGGCGGGAGGGAGCCGACTCTTCTCTATCTCCCCTTTCATGCTGTTGGATGTTTGTACCTTGTGAATGTGTTATCTGCTCAAATTTTTTATTTTAAAAATAACTATAATCAATCTTTGCCAATTTCTAGTTTCTGGAATTTTTATTGGGACTTTATTCAATCTACAGATCAACTTAGGGGAGAATTGACATCTTAATACTGAATCTTCCAACTCCTGAACAGAGTATGTCTCTTTTGGCTGTGGGTCAGTGATTTTGTGTCCATTTCTGACTAGTCTTGGTCTGTTGATTTTTTTTTTTTCTTACATTGTCTTTATTTGGTTTTGGTAATGCTGGATCATAAAATGAGTGCTATTTCATTTCCCGAGTGTAAAATTGATGTTATTCATTCCTCAAATGTTTGGTGGACTCCTCTAGTGATGCCATATGGACCTGGAGTTTCATTTGTGGAGAGATATTTAATTACAAGTATTGTGTGAATATACATATTTATTTGATTTTTTCCTAAACAAATTTAAAAAGTCAGCCAAAGGCTGGGTTGTAGCTCAATGGTAGAGCGCTTGCCTAGCTTGTGTGAGGCACTGGGTTGGAATATCAGCACCACATATAAAAAATAAATAAAGGTCCACTGACAACTAAAAAATAATATTTTTAAAAAGTCAGTTAATATATATATATTTGATACTGGGGATTGAACCCAAAGGGACTTTACCCCTGAGCCACATCCCTGCCCTTTTTATTTTTTGAGACAGGATTTCTCTAAGTTGCTCTGAGCCTCACTAAGTTGCTGAGGCTGGCTTTGAACTTTCAATCTCCTTTCCTCAGCATCCCAAATTGCTGGGATTACAGATGTTGACCATTGTACTTAGCTTAAAATGTTTTTCTTAAGACAGTTTTACTCAATTGTATGTGATGGCATAGAAATAGAAATTGTCAATTTTTGGCATAAAGTTACTGGAATTATTTTCTTTTCATACTTTTAAAATTCATAATATCCATAGTGATATTCCCTCTGTCTTTTAAACTGATAATTCGTATTTTCTCTCTTTTCTAGATCACTCTAGCAACAAACTTTTTTCAATTTTTATCAATTTTATTGTTCTTTTTTAAAAAATCAACTTTTGGTTTTATTTATTTTTCTTTGTCCATTTCTATTTCATTGATTTATATTCTTTATTTTTTTACTCTTTCCATTTAATTTGTTTAATGTTTTCTTTTTAGCTAAATTTTATATGGAAGCTTAATTAATTTTTGAACTTTTCCAATAAGACAGTTAAACTATAATTTCCCTTCCTAAGTACTGCTTTTATTTCAATTCATGTTTTATGTTTTCATTTTACTAAATTCAAAATATTTTAGCTGGGCTTGTGGACTTGGGAGGCTGAGGCAGGAGGACAAGTTCAAGGCCAGCCTCAGCAACATAGTGAGGCTCTAAGCAACTCTGTAGACCCTGTCTTAAATTAAAAAATGAAAAGGACTGGAGATATAGCTCAGTGGTAAAGTACCTCTGGATTCAATCCCCAGTACCCTTTTTTTCCTCTCTTTCCATATATATTATATATAATATATATTTTTATATATTTTATAATTTCCTTGGTGATTTCTGATTTCTTCTTTGATGATGAGTTATTTAGAAACGTGTTATTTTATTTGCAAATACTTTGAAGTTTAAAAAAGAACAAAAGTTTTTTTTTGTGATGGAGTCTCACTATATTTGCCAAGGTTAGCCTCAAACTCTTTGGCTCAAGTGATCCTCGTAACTCAGCCTCCCAGGTAGTTGGGATCACAGACACTTGCCACTGCACCTAGCTTCCTTCATGACCCATTTTGAGTTGGCTCCAGCCTAACGCTGTGCCAAATACTTCTTCCTTTGTCCACTGTTTCTAAATAAATGAGCCTCTTTGTTAATAGCCTGGTAATTAAAAAATAATTCTCATTTTATCCCATGAGATGGGGTAGGAAAAATGAATTCCATTCTCCCACCCTTAGACTCATCTGGGCAGGTCAGAGCCTATCTGAGGTGAGCAATTCAGTCAGAGTTTATGTGAGCAGTTTCACTGTGAGGAGAGAGAATTAAAGCCTGTGGGTGTCCCCAGACCCTTTCTCGCTGTCCTGGCCAACTCACTTCTCTCACGGTATAATCTTGGGAAGTCATTTTCCTCCTTCTTAGAGTAAGACTGAATGTTGGAAGAGTGGAAAAGGCTCCGTGACTGGTGGTTTGTAGCCAGTAGAGAGAAGGACAAAAGGGTCCTGCATATCCGTCATGCTTCCTGTCCTCTTCTTTTTCCCTTTCCTGTTGTTGCCCCTCACACTCCCTGATGTCATTCCTGCCATTGTGAGCTGGCAGGCCCTCCGGGACAGCCATAAGGAGGGAGGGAGGTAGAGCTGCAGGAGGTGGGGGAAGCAGTGGTCACAATGGCAACACCTTGGAGTTGGGCTGGGTCTGCAAGGAGCCCCAGAGATGTTCCCCAGCCCATTCTTCCCAAGAACCCAATGAGTAAAATTAGGGGCCTCCCTCCTAAGGTCAGGGAACCAAGCCCTGGAGTAGCACTTGGGGTGGAAAATGGCCTTCTTTGTCAATTGATTCATTCTCCAGAATTCAACTTATTCTCCAACTCAGTGGTGTTTGAAAGCAACTTTATCCAGGTATCTCCATGGCTGTCAGGGCCACCTGTCTTCCCCTTCCTGAAACTGTTCCTAGGGGTTGTTCACAAGATGCTGTGGACTTTGAAAGCCCTGGGGTGGAGAAAGAAACCACCAAAGCCAGAACAAAGCAGAGGATCTGGGTCCCAAGTTCAACTTCAGTTTGTGCCTACAGCATGAGAGAGCTCCCTGCAGGAACTAGACTCAAACCTTACAAGGAAGCCAGAGCTGTCTCCAGGTAGGACCACAGGTGTCCTTTCTGGGCCATTTGTCTGAAGTAGATGGTTTCAGGGAATGGAGGCCATTTTTGGAGACCCTGCTCTGAGATCCAGCCTCCTCCTTCTAAGATAGTTTAGAAACATCTATTTGAAAACAAGGCCCCTGGGCAGATTGGTCTTATTTAGATTTTGCCAAGTCCCCACAGAGAGGTGATAATGACAGTGGAAGTGTGCATTCATGGCCTGGGGAAGCATGGAGCCACTGGGAATAGTGTGAAGTAGTTGTTTGAATAGGCATTTGTTATTACCCAGGTCCTGCCTGACCTCCACAGACACTAGCCTGACCCTGTGTGTCTATGCTCCATTGTAGTGTGATAAAACCAATTAGCTAGGAAGCACATTCTCAAGGCCTATTGCATCCAGGGCAGAAGGTGCCCAGAATATCAGGTGGTGTCTTGGACTGAGAAAGCTTATATGTTTGGCCTACCCATTATAAAATGCTAAGTAAGCTCTGTGTTGAATAGTTTGGAACAACCAAGGCATGAGCACAGAGAACAGGTACCTGGAGCATCCAGAGCACCCCCTTTGAACTTAAACAGTTGGAAAAAGCTTTCCAGAAAACAGTGTTGTGAGTCACTCTTTGAGGTATTGCTGAGTCTTTGGTGAGCGGAAGAACAGGAGTGGGATGTATCTGGCACAGGAATTTCAAAGTACCTGGGTCAAGGCAGGAAGGCTGGAATTCACAGAGAGTCTGCAGGACCCACCCAAATGAAGTGAATAAGGGGCAAGGAGTTGTAGGAGAGAAGGGGGGAACACCTGGAAGTGTGTCAGCGGCTTAATTTGGGGATTACTCACAGAACAACAAGCTACTTCTTATTGCAGTTCCAGAGTGGAGGAGCTGTGCTCAGGGGTCCTGGTGCTCTCCAGGGGGACATGTACTTGGGGTCAGCTGGTAAGCCCAGGCAGACCTCATTGCTAACACTCTCATGGAAAAGGAGCATTAACATGGACTTGGGATATGATTTCTAGTCATTTCTCTTTGGATGTGGTGTTTTGGCAGCAGATTTGTCCTCTTAATATTTTCTAGTTGGTCTTATATTAAAACCATTTGGAATCTCTGAATGGACACCAGGTAGCCTAATAGGCAGTAGGAAACTCAGAATGTGCCAGGGAAGATGGACCCATAGCAGAAGTCAAAGTTTACTTGATGTGATTGAGCCCGAGATTAGTCATAACGCAGTGGTGCTGCCTCCTCTGTCCCTGCTCTCCACATCTCCACCTTCACCTCAGAGCAGATTCAGCTTTTATGGAACACTACTTTCAATATGTGCTGTCCTCTGTTTTGCAGGGGATACAAATTTCATTCTACAACATGGGCTCCAAGAAATGTCCCTTTTCCCCATAACATCAAACTTCATGTTTCTTTCTTTCTTTCTTTCTTTTTTTTTTTTTTTAGTTATAGATGGACACAACACATTTATTTTGTTTATTTTTAGGTAGATAAAACCCAATGCCTCACACATACTAGGCAAACACTCTACCAACTGAGCTGCAATCCTAGCCCCAAATTCATTTTTCTAGGAGTACCATTTGGTCAGGCTGTTGGGAAATAAGTTCCTATTATTCCTGGGGCCTCCTCCTTGTCCCCAGTTCTACCAAGAACAGAGCAACAGTCTTGGTGACTTTACAAAGTCTAGAATGTAGGGAGAAGGCAGTGTCTTGGGAACATAGGTGTCTCTCCTCATTTGTACCTTACCTTGGTCCCTGTGTCTCCTTAGTGGCCACGGCTCTTATGCCTTTCTGTCAGTGAACTGAGACATTGTGTCCCAGTGCTGGGCATCCATCCAGACTTCCTGTCCTGGCACCGCCCCCCCCCCCATCCCCAGGTGCTTCAGAACAAGTCATATGGCATTCAAGACCTAGCAACAAGCTGCTCCTTGTGCAGAGAAAAGCTCCTGAATCTCCCTCCACTTGAGTTGTCTGGGTCTCCTCCCTTTGACATCTCTTCCTGTACTCCCCTCCTCTTCTGGGACTTTCTTCACAACATCTCCCTTTCAAGCCATGAGAAGCCAGTGCTGGCTTCTGCTAATCAAGGAAGAGGAGATAAAATTTCAGTGCCACTTAACTTTTTTCTTACATCTTTTTACAGTTAGGAAATGCTACACAGGGTTCCTATAGCCAGAGAGCTTAAAGGCTATTTGCAGAGACCAATAAAAAGGACTAATAGTAGATCACGGCCCAACCCAGTATGCTCTACACCTGTCACCAAGCTGAAGTACTGTTTTCTGTATCCTTCTACCCTTCTGCTCCTTTCTGACCCATGTTCCTGGGGCTGATTTCCAGGTCAATAAGCCCACAGACTGGATGGATGTCTGGGAAGGATCTACCCCCATCATTCTTGGGGTGACGTCCTCAGTGCCCTCCTTGCCACTCCCCAACGTCCTCCTGATGGCCAATGTCACCTGGCCCCAGAATCAGTTTTCTACCTGGAACACACGTGGTGTCCCAGTCATCACACTGAGCAGGTAAAGGCTGGAGGGAGGGACTAAAAGTGGTAGGAGGTTACAGCTGTTCTGCAACTAGATTTCAGATCAAAAGAAAGAACAGTGTTCTTCAGAGTGACATTCATTCATTCATTCAACAAGTATTTAGTATCTAAATATAGTAAACATTGTGTATGGTGCTGGGGGTGAAGCAGTCTACAGTCCACAGTTCCTGTCTCAAGTTGTTGAGGATTTTGTCTTCCTTTTGTTTAGTTTAATTTTTTTTTCAATATGGGGGTTCCCCAAGAAAAGATAGAGATATGAAAGTAAAATCTGACTGTAATGTGTTAAGATTGAAAAGAAAATACTGACTATATAGGAGACATCCATCCTTGTCCTTACCCTCTCAACACAGATAATCACAATGTAAGGAGAAAGCCTGGAGATGGAGTAAAAAAAACTTTGTTCCAGTTCCCACTTGAGCAAACTGATAAGACTTCCCAAATCTCAGTTTTAAAATCTGTAAAGTGGAAATAACAACACTTATTTTTCCTCCATCAAAATGTTGCTGTGGAAATTAAATGAGATATTATGCATCAATAGCAGCCATTGTTATTGATGTGGGCAGATTGGTTAACAAAAGTCCTGGTAATCAAAGAGGAGTCATCCCCACTTGGTCATCCCCACTCTCAGAACACAAGCTTTCTTGCCTCTGTATTCCCAAGCAGTGGTGGGAGGCACCAACATGGGAATTTCCTGATTATGCCCAGGATTCTCCCCCTGAAGTATGTGGAGCTACAAATCTATGACCGGACCCAACACATTCTGCGACTTAGAACAGTGACAGAAAAAATCTACTACCTGAGGCTCCATGATAAACATCCAGAGGCTGTGTTTCAATTGTGGATCCGCTTGGTGAGAATTCTACAGAAAGGTCTATCCATCACCACCAAAGACCCAAGAATCCAATTCACTCACTGCCTGGTGCCCAAGATGCCTAGCCCCTCCACTGAAACAACAGTAAGTAGGCATCCCTCCAAGGTCTGCAGTGAAATAAAAACAAATGTAGATGTGTCTGTATGCACACACATAATATACATATGTACAGAGGCACAGTGGCCTTCCATATCTGCAGGTTCCATATCCATGGGTTCAATCTCAGAAATATTTGAAAAATAGATGCTGGGCTGCATTCAGTCTGGCCCATCGACTGACTTTCTCTCTCCTCTCATCCCATTCCATTCACACTGGCCCATAAAGCTCCTTGAAATTTTTCCCTCAGAACTTTGCACTTGCTACTTCCCCTGCCTGAAGTTTTTCCCCAGATTTCCACAGGTCTGTTCTCTCAGCTCTGTTAGATCTTCGTTCAAGGGTCTTCTTTGCAGTGAGGTCTTCTCTGACAAGACTCCATATTCCCTTCCCTTGCTTCCTTCCAGTTGGATGCACGTTACCTTAGACCACATAAAAACTTATTTATTATTTTACTGTTTGTCTCTGAAATAGAATGTGAGGGCAGAGATTTCTTTTTGTCAATTGCAGGTTGGGAAACTTTTCCTATAAAAGGGTAAGGTAGTATATATTTTAGACTTTCTGAGTCATGGAGTCTTTGCACAACTATTCATCTCCACTGATATAGAGCACTGAAGGATATAAGGAAGCAAAAGGGCATGAATGTATTTGTTCCAATAGAATTTTACAAAAACAGGTGGTAGACCAGATTTTGGTCTAGGGACTAAGATTTGATGAACCTTTGTCTAATGTGTTCATTGTTTTATCTTCAGTGCCTACAATTGTGCCAGGTAAACAACTGGTCCTCAGTATTTTTTTTTTTTCCTGCTTTTGGACTGAGCTAATAACTAAAATGGAATTCAGTGTAGTTTTTTGAAAAGTTACAAATTAGGAAAACACCATGATTGCCTTCACTACTACACTTTTAGACAAATATCAAATCAAAACTGTGAGGTTAATTATGTCTTAAGAGTTTTTTAGGCTCTAGTGATATTTTTTGCTATTATTTTTGTTAATGCTGTAATAGAGTACACACATACACAACTTTATAAGTAGTTTGAAATTATTTTGCTCAGAAAAATTTAAAATTTTAGATATGTAAAAAGAATAACGAAGCAAATGATTATTTTTCCACAGCATAGAAATAACAATGAGCAATAATTTACAATACTGGGCTGGGGTTGTGGCTCAGCGGTAGAGTGCTCACCTAGCATGTGAGAGGCCCTGGGCTCGATCCTCAACACCACATAAAAATAAGTAAATAAATAAAACAAAGTGTATTGTGTCGAACTACAATTGAAAAATAAATATTTAAAAAAATAATTTACAATATTTTTTCAAGTCTTTTTTTTCAAATGTTGATGGACTTTTATTTTATTCATTCATTTATATGCAGTGCTCAGAATCAAACCCAGTGCCTCACTCATGATAGGCAAGCAGTCTACCACTGAGCCACAACCCCAGCCCCTCAAGTCTATTTTTTTAATGAATAAAATGTTGCAGGTTAATTGGAAATCCTTTTTGAGCACCTCTAGTCCTAGTTATCTTTCCGCTCCCTAGGGGTAACGTATCATCATGAGTTTGATGTAACCTTTCTGATCCATGATATTATTCTTCTGCTCTATGTAATTTGAGATATATCTCAATGTTAAGTTTGAACACCTGTCCTTGGTGTGTGTATGTGTAGTTCATTATTTTCAATTGTTGTTAATGCTAAATTTCATTATGTATAGACAACATGAAATAAAATATTTTCATTTTCCAAATAAAAATATTTACAAGGACAAAACTCGCAAAACCATTTATCGTATTATAGGGCAGTCTTAATCATTTTTTTTTAGATTGTGCCTACTGAAGTCCAGTGTTGCTCAAGTCTTTCACCCAATAAAATAATTTAAAACAAACAAAATAATTTGGAATAAGAAATTGTATCTGGCCAGGTGTAGTGGTGCAGGCCAACCTGAGCAACTTAGCAAGACCCTGTCTCAAAATAAAGAAGGCTGGGGATGTAGCTCAGTCCCTAGTACTGTGAAAAGAAAGAGAGAGAGGGAGGGAGAGGGAGGGAAGAGGGGAAGGAAGGGAGGGAGGAAAGAAAGAGGAAAGGAAAGGAAGAAAGGAAGGGAGAAAGAATGAGGGAAAAAAGAAAGAAGAAATAATAAATTGTGTCTGTAGTGAACATATCACACATTTTTTTGTCATTTTTCCCCAAACAATATGGTCTATTTACATAGCATTTACATTGTATTAGGTATCATAAGTAATCTATAGATGATTTAAAGTAGGAGGACATGTGCAGATGATATGCAGTATTTTGCTATTTTATGTAAGGGATTTGAGCATCCCTGGATTCTGGTATTGGGGTCCTGGAACCAATCCCCATGGATACTGAGGCACCAGTGTGTATATTGGTGAGTGCTGTTTTTTTTCACTTTAGATTATATTATAGGATTTTTTTTTCCATGTCTTAAGAGATTCTGTATCCTTATCACAATAGAGTAATGATAAGTTTTAACAAATTTTCTCATATGATGGGTAAGAATGTGGCATTAATTTCAAGGAGTCTGAACATTGTTACTTGTGTATTTGTGTTTTATTCCTTTTTTTTTTTTTTTGCATTAACTGTTGTGTTCCTATTTAATTTTTTAGTGGTGCTGAGAATCAAACCCAGAGCTTGCTCATACCAGGCAAGCGCTCTACCATTGAGCTACTTCCCCAGACCATGGGGTGATTTTTGACACCTGTGCAGCCTTTCTAGGACCTGCCTAGTGTAGAAGCACAAGAAAGAAAGCTTGATAGATTGTATTTCCCTAAACCTTGGTATTTCAGAACCTGAATGCTTGCCTCCTCTCATTATGTGGTATAGTTTAGGTGACTTATCACGGACTATGAAAGTCAGTAGCCTCTAAAACCCATCAGAGACAGGATATAGTCCTTACAGGCATCCTGTATTTGGTCTGATGATTCTAGGGCTGAATGCTGAAGGAACTGATTTCCAGGATTAGGCTGTGAAATTCATGTATAAGCCCACAAATTCCTTCAAGGTTATGCCTGGGGAGTCTAGGGGTTCTCAGGAGCAGCCTGGCCTTCTGACGTGCATTTCTCCACACAGCCTGAATGCAGCCTCTCATCATCCTCCCAGACCAGTGAGACCCTCAGGCTGCTGGCAGCTGAGCAGAAGAGTGGCAGTTGCTTGGGACTCTCTACAAGGACCCAGCTCACATCAAACAGGTAGGTCCAGTTTGGTCAGCTCCATTGTCCCTTCCTCCTGCATGGAGTCACAGGGTCACTGACAACCTCTACCAACTTTCCTTTTATTCTGAATAGTCATGCACATGACTCCACTTTGTTGTAAGCCCATCCTTGAAAATAGAGTCTATAGGGGCTGAGGCTGTTGCTCAGTGGTAGAGCACTCACCTAGCGCAAGTGAGGCACTGGATTCGGTCCTCAGCACCACATAAAAATAAATAAATAAATAAAAAATAAAGTCATTGTGTCCACCGACATCTAAAAAAATACTTTTAAAAAAGGGGGTCTGTGGTATTCAGGTCTCTTTGATCTGACTGTTCATTCCCTAAGCAAACCACAGTGTTTTCATATGGCAGGTGCTTATTAATAAAAGGGATGAAGGATGAGTAAATTAAGCTTAAGAAACATACTTAATAACTCCGGTTCATAGAGTTAGCTATTGACTCTCTTTGTCCCAGCTTAAAAGAGTTACTTGGGAAGATGCTACTTCTCTTTGCCTCACCCATGTCTTCTGTCAAATGGACAGAACAGACAGTGACCCAGAGGGGAGATATCTCTAGTTCCAATGTTTTATTAATTTGCTAATTATATTACATTCTTTCGGTAACATGCAATAGAAATCCACAGCAAGTGCAACAATATGTTGAATGAGTACAGCTTATAGTTGGGCACAGTGGCCCACACCTGGAATCCCAGCTTCTTGGGAAACTGAGGCAAGAGGAGGTTAAGTTTGAGGCCAGCCTGGGCAGCTTGACAAGACCCTGTCTCAAAGTTAAAATTAAAAAGGGCTAGGGATGTGGTTCAGAGGCATAGTGCCCCTGGGTTCAATCCCTAGCTCCACAAAACAAATAAAAGTAGAATTTGTAGGATATTATCATGATGCAAACTTTTTTGGGGGGAGGGTACCAGGGATTGAATTCATGGGTACTCAGCCACTGTGCCACATCCCCAGCCCTATTCTGTATTTTATTTAAAGACAGGGTCTCTTTTAACACCTCACTTTTGCTGAGGCTGGCTTTGAACTTATGATCCTCCTACATCAGCCTCCCGAGCTGTTAGGATTACAGGCATGTGCCACAGTGCCCAGCACAAACTTATTTTTAAAAAATATTTTTTTAGTTATTGATGGAACATTATTTATTTGTATGTTGTGCCGAGAATTGAACCCAGTGCCTCACGCATGCTAGGCAAGCGCTCTACCACCCCAGCCAGCCCCACAAAGTTATTTTTATATTGATTTTTTTTCAGTGGGAGAAGTTTTCCTTTTGCTAAAGGATAAAAACTGCTTTTCTTGGCAGTCCCCATAGCATATGGATCTCTCTTAGTGTGTGTATGTGCGTGTGTGTGTGTGTGTGTGATCCCTTTAAATTGCAAAAGTGGCCTCAGTTCTGAAATTAGAATGTCCAATGCCTGAAGATTTCAAGACATTAAATTTATTACTTTATTACTCCTCTCTTTACTACCCTCAACCTGGCCCTTTGTCAAATCGTCCTTTCCTAGTGGTAGACTGGCAGACTGAGTTGTCACTCTTTCTAATGCTTTAAGGTGACTGTCTCTTAGGAGCTTGCTTTCTCCCTTCATCCCCCTCTTCCCAGTATGGGAGATCAAACTCAGGACCTTGAGCATGCTAGGCAAGTGCTCTCCCAGTGAGCCACATCCTTTTTGAAAATTTTTCATTTTTGAGACAGGGTATGGCTAAGTTGCCAGTTTGTTTTTTTTCTATTGCTTTCAATGACCCTGACATTTCTGGTTTCCCATAGAAATACCCAAACTGCCAACTTAAGCTAATTTTCTTAAGTTGCTGGCCTTGAACTTACCTTTCTCCTATCAGCCTTCCAAGTATGAGATTATATATGTGAGTCACTACCTGCAGCTTTTGGGTTCTTTAGAGTCCCTCCCTTTAATTGCAACTCTGGAAATATTGTGAAATCTCCCTTGTATATGGCCACCCCTTTCCCTCAGGGTCTGGTTCTGCAGGTGTCCTTGCCACCAAGCATTAGTTGTCAGTGTGCCCTCTTGGGTAGGACTTGCAACTGCTTCATGCTGGTATACCATCTGTCTGAGTGTCTCTGGCTGGTACTCCCCACATCTGGTCCTCAGGAAATGTCCTCTTGTACAATGACCAGCCACTTGGAGGAGGACTGTGCTTCCTTGATAGTAGCAGCTTGTTACTGCACAAAGAAGCTCCTGTCTCATCTCTCCTGCCCTCCCTGTGCCTGGTCAGAAATGTGCCCCATCTAAAGGGTCTCCAGATCCTAGGACCACAGCTCCAGCTTTTGGTGGCCTCAGGAAGGCCCTCCCTTTAGCCAATCACTCTTTGCAAATGACTCCCTGGGCACAGGGCCAGCCCTTGATTCCCAAAGCTGGAGAGTCCCACTGGCAGCCCACCTCACACTCCCTTCTCTGGTTGGGGATTTGGGGTTCCTGGGATTATTTGATTTGTAAACTCAATAATGCACTTAAAATTACATTTCGTATCTTTTATCCAGGCATTTTGTAGCAAAGAGGCCTTTAGATATTTTAGCCGTATTGCCAGTTTTTAGCTTTTAACTAAATTCTAAAATTATCTTCACTTAAAAGAACTGATTGTATTTATCTCTGAATAGTCACAGTGTGAGCAATTTTTACTTTCTTTTCAGTGTTCTTTTATAGTTTCTATGTTTTTCTCTTAATCATCTATATCACCACTGAGCCACATTCACAGCTCTTTTTTTTAGAGTCAGCATCTTGCTTAAGTTGCTGAGGCTGACTTTGAACCTGCAATCCCTCCTGTCTCAGTCTCCCAGGTCACTGGGATTACAAGTGTATGTAACAGTGCCTGGCACCCCCAACTCTTTTTATTTTTTATTTTTGAGACAGAGTCTTGCTAAGTTGCCTAGGCTGGTCTTGAACTTCCAATCCTTCTGACTCAGCTTCCCAAGTCACAGGGATTATAGGCCTGGCATAAAATGTTTTTTTTTTTTTTAATATTTATTTATTTATTTTTAGTTTTTCGGCAGACACAACATCTTTGTTTGTATGTGGTGCTGAGGATCGAACCCGGGCCGCACGCATGCCAGGCAAGCGTGCTACCGCTTGAGCCACATCCCCAGCCCATAAAATGGTTTTTAAAGTAGAATTTTAACCATGTTTTTTTTTTTTTCTATTGCTTTCAATGACCCTGACATTTCTGGTTTCCCATAGAAACACCCAAACTGCCACTGAAATAGGCAGTTGCCACAGCTATAAGAAACCCTCACTGGTGACATCTCCACTCAACTTGAATATACCCATGAGAGCCACCTTGAACCACAGCCTCTGGGAACAAGAAGATCCAAACGAACATTTCCTACAGGTTCCTGTAGCCAGTTCCCTAGGAGAGAACTTTCTGGGGCCCTGACACCTAGCTAAAATGGGGTGATCATCCTTGGTGTATGTGCAGCCTCTAAGGCTGTTCACCACGGTGCCAAGTGACATGGGTGGGGTAAATGGAGTTACTAACAACGTGCTGCTGTACTTCCACCAATAAACCTCCATGCAAGTCCCTCACTGTTTGTTGGTTGTTCTATGGGGAGATTCTAGGCTGGGGAACAGGAGCTTGCTCTGTGGGAAAATGAGAGGTAAGAGAGTTATTGTCTGCCCAGTTGAAACCCCAAAGCAACTTCCTTTCTCAAAGGAATAAGTAGGTATACAGGAAGGGCTTGGCTACAAGCTCAAAATTAAAGAAATCTAGAGGATGATGGTGACCAACTGGGAGATACCTCTGTGTGACCCTACTTACCCCGAGTAAAAAATTTGAGTCTTCATTTCCCCACTCCCTGTATTAGTGTAAAAGGTATAAAGGGTCACCCTGGGCCATGAAGACTTAGATTGCTAATGAAGATATGGCTTCTGGGAAGGAAGATGTTACCTATGTATCACTGCAAGCCCCAATCGAATTGACTATCATATTTCTATCCAGGACCTAATGAAAGCAGACTGAGTGACATTGTGTCTTTGTATATTGGGGTTGGGGCAGGAGTTTTGGCCACCCTCTGCACAAGTAAGAAATATTTATTCAGAAAATTCAGCATACTGCGGATCAGAAAGTCACAAAAATGGCATTTTTCTTCTAATTTTAACAATTGATATACCTTGCTTTAGTCTCTAAGAATACTCATTACATACTATGCCAGATTATACAATACTTATTTTTAAAATGAAATCTATATATTGACTTTCTTATCAATTATCTTATTGCACAATCAAAATTAGAAATACTTGGTTTAAAAACAATACCTAGTGAACCTCCAGATAACTTTAAAGAACTTATTTAGCTTTGTGGGTGGTAAGAGGGTTTAATATTTTGTAGAAGTTTGGTCATATTTTAATGGTCTTTGTATGGCAGTATGTATAAACTGTGTTAAGTTCTTTAACAATCTCTCCTTTAAAACTTTGAGGTTAATACTTTTGTGCAACTGTGTTTGTGAATAAAGCCAAGACAGTGTTAACAACAACAAAGAAAATGCCAGCACACTATTCAATAAGTATTTATCAAGTTCCTGTTTGTATCAGACACTGTAACTGATGCTGAATGTGTTATATCAGAGAAGACACAACAGGCGGTCAAGTTATCTGTCATCAGGGAGGGTATGGGAGAAATATAGAGCTCTGTTTTAGAGACAGAGCAAGGCCATTAAGGCTGACATGATGTTTGAGCCACTTAATCTACAAATAAAGGCAAGGCTGGAGGATCTACCTTCCTGTAGTTCACATCCTAAGTGATGCAGAGAGAAATAACTCGATTTCCCTCCCTCTTGTGCTTGCTTAGTTGGGCTGAGTGGTAAATCCAGGCTAGACTGAGTCAGAAAAGGTAGCTAAAGGGATGCCTAATGGTTGTGGGTTTCTTCCTGCCTCTGTTAAAAATACAAACATAACAAATTTCCTTTCACATATTATAATCAAATAAGCTGAGCATTGTTGGTGCTGGTGAGAGACATCTAGAAGCTGAAATGAGAAGGGACTAATGTGGAAGGTTCCTGTAATTCCCAATTTATGCCTATTGTCCTACTATTACTATATATCTATTTATCTCCTAATTGTTCCTGTATGGATAAATTGTATGAATACCCTATGAATATGGTATGTCTATGAACATTTAAAGGGTCTCTGGCCCCATTTCTGTGGCATGGGTTTAAGCTTACATCAATTCTCAGCTAGACTGTTGAGATTATCCTAATTGGTCTCCCAGGCTCCATCATCACCATAACAATAATAGCTAACATTATGCTAAGGCTGTACAGTGATCACACCACAACTCACTGGGAGGTAGCTACTCATTACATTGTATAGGTGATACATGTGGGCACAGAGAGACTAAACAACTTTCTTGAGATTACATACAGGTAGTAAGTAGAAGCCAGGTCTTGAATCCAGTCTTCAAAGCCCACACTCTTAATATTCCTCTAGTCTTTTCCCAGTCCATCCCCTTTCCACACCTCTAACAGAGCAATCTTTCTGAAACACACATATAACCAGAACTTCAGTTCAATAAAACTGAACTCTAACATGAAATGACCAGGACCCTGCCAATATTCCAGCCTTTCCACTGGACACCATTTCATTTGAACTTTATGCTCCCATAACACCAAATTTCTTATGGTTTCCTAAGTGCACCATGTTTTTTGTTGTTGTTTTGGTTTGGTTTGGTTTGGTGTTTTGGGGTACCGGGGATTGAACTCATGGGCACACAACCACTGAGCCACATCCCTAGCCCTCTTTTGTATTTTATCAGAGACAGGGTCTCACTGAGTTGCTTAGGACCTCACTAAATTGCTGAGGCTGGCTTTGAACTCGTGATCTTCCTGCCTCAGGCTCCCAAGCCACTAGGAGCCACTGGGATTACAGGAGTGTACCATCATTCCTGGCCTAAGTGCACCATGTTTTTAGATACTGCAATGATGTTGCATCTACCAAAGACATTTTCCCTTGCATTTTCTCTCTATTGCCCTCAAAATACTTGTCCTTGTTGACAGAGCTTTTCTGTATTACTTATGTGCCCTGTGTGTGCCTTGTATTATAGCATTTCTCACCTTATTGTAGTTATTTGTTTACATGCCTGTCTCCTTGGTGAAACTGCAAACTCTTTGAGAACAGATATCATTTGATATCAGAATGCTTTGGTTGCCGGTAAAAGAAACTGACTGAAACTTAAACCCAGTGGATTTCATTGGAAGGATGTGGGTTGACTCACAGAACCAAATGGACAACTGAAGAGTCAGTCTTAGAATGCAGTGACACCAGAATGGCTCTGGGAATCAGGGAGAGGCGGCTAATTGATCATCACATCAAGTGCTTCAGCAGGCCAATTGTTTTTCTCAAGAGCGTTATAAGAGAACAAACAGGAATGGGTGTCTGGTTGCTGATAATAGCAAGTATCCACTGCACTCACTTTAGTCTCTTTTATTGGAATGGTCTGCCATGGCCTTGTGTACATCTCTACACATCCTTACTTACTAAGTATGTCAAATTTCAAGACCTAACCATCCTCTGACCCTGAACTATTTTTGTAGCTAGTCACATAGGCAATTAAGGAGGTCAAGGCAGCCACAGCATGGTTACCTGCTGACTTCTTATTCTCCCAGGGAGGGATCTGGTTTGACTACTGTTTGCTTAACCCTGGGCTCTCAGCTGCACTGCAGCCCATTGCTGGTGTAGCCGTGGCCTGGGCCCACTATGTTACTTGGGTCAGGGCAACTGGGCCTGCCTTGTGGATGCTCCTGCGGTTTGCTGAGCTAGTAGTAGTAAATTATCTGACTTTGACCCACTGAATCCCCTCATCTACCTTAGGTGCCCAAACAATTATGGTAAGTCAAACTGCTTTCATTTTTAGTCACTTTTTTCACAGTATTGTTACTCTTTGCCATCGACAGTGAGACCTAGCTTCTTCCCTGACAGTGACCCCCAAATTCACATATACTCTCATTCTATCATTTTATTCACTATTAAAATAATCTTCAACTAACATAATGCCTCTGTTTCTCTCACTCTCTCTCTCTCTCTCTCTGTGTGTGTGTGTGTGTGTGTGTGTGTGGTATTTTTAAATTTTTGAGACAGGGTCTCACTACTTTGACCAGGGAGACCTTGAACTGAATGATCCTCCTTGCACATTCCAGGTGCAACCTGGAATGCCTCCGAGTAGCTGCCATTCCAGGTTGCACCACCATGCTTGGCCTCAATTTTGAAGAAAACACTTCTCTTTGTAAAGACCAAGCCTCTGTCTTAAGTCTGTTCAGGCTGTTTTAACAAAAATATCAAACTGGGTAGCTTATAAATAATAAATATTTGCCATAGTTCTGGAGGCTGGAAGTCCAAGATCAAGGTGCTGGCAGATTTGGTGTGTGGCGAGGACTCATTCCTCACAGATGGCACCTCCTTGCTGTGTCCTCAGCAGGCTGTTTGCTGTGGTGGAAGCAGGTCCTCTACGACAAGGGCTCTGATCTCATTCATGAGGGTTCTACCCTCATCATCTAATCACCTCCCAAAGGCTTCCATCTCTCAACACTTGTCACCTTAGGGATTAGGTTTCAACATCAGTATCCTGGGGGACACAAAAGTTCAACCAGTAGCAACTCCCTGAGTTACTGTATCCCTCCTTGAATCTAGATCCACCGGGTAAAGTCCCATCTTCCTCTGGTTTGTTTCTGTCTTAGCTTTGTGTTCCAAAATTTCCAGATCCAATGGTAAATTTAAATGCCATAAACGCGTCCTGCATACAATAATGAGAGGAGGAATAATTTAAGTAATATATGTCACTGCAAAGAAAGAAATACAGGTAGGAGTTTTAGTTCTTATTCCTGTATCTTGGTTCCAAAGTAGTAGTAGCTGGTACTTATGATTCTGCTTGTTTACTACCCATTTCATATACTTCTTGCTTTGCCCTACTAGTACCTGATTGGAGTTTTTTCCCTGGTTGGGAGCCCACATACTTTCCTCCTAAAGGCCCAAGCCCTCGATGGTCTTGCTCATACAGTGTTTGTGATCTTCTATTGGGCTGAGCAGGATGCAATGAAGATGCATCTCATTTCCATTTGGGTGCCATTCCTTCTCCTTCCTGTACCCACTTTGTAGAAGTCATTCTTTTTGCCCTCAAAGGCATTCCACTCCAAACAACTCCAGAATCCCCCTTATATACATGACCACCATTTTTACCTAAAGGAAAGGTAAGTCCAAAATGGCAACATTGCCTTAGTTTTCAATCATTAGAATGACTTTAGTGCCCCCATGTATTAAAGTTTTCTACCCTTAGGTATTAAAATCTCCCAACTTCAGACATGTTACATTATAATTTTTTTGCATATAGCTTGTGTTTGTCAGCTTTCTGTTACTGTGGCAAAATACCTGAGATAAAAAAACTTGAAAAGAAGAAAGGCTTGTTTTGGCTTATATTTTTGGAGGTTTCAGTCTATGGCCTGTTGGTTCTGCTGCTTTGGGGCCTGTGGCAAAGCAGCACATCATTCTGGGAGCACATGGTAGAAGAAGCCCATTCACCACATGACCAGGAAT